TACTAATTCACTTTTGGAACTAAAATTTTAGGGTTGTAGGTTTTACCTGTAAGCAAAATGGTCTATTCGTTTTCAACATTGTTATATACAATGTTAATGAAGAAAACTTTTCCGCTTAAATTTAAAACTTCAGTATTCAACAGACGATCGCATCAGGATTTCTTGAGATTTATGTATGGTATCGCATATAAGCTATACCGCTATCAGACCTCAGTTACGCATAGAGAGATTAGGTTATTTTACTATGGCACACGAGAGCTAGCTGCCTAAATGGAGGAATGCTCTGGTGGAGGATTTTCTAACGGAAACTCTACCTATGTGTAGTGTACTCGTATTCAGGTTAAAAATTGTGAAAAACACAAAATTCAACCAAGAAATCAGTCTATTTTCCTGGGTTCGAAACCGAGCCAAACTACAAGTATTCAAGGGTATTAACCATTCGGTCATTGGTTGGGTACTGATTTATAGCTCTACAATAGAGACAAGTGAGATAAATGACAACGACAACGCCACCATTATTGAATGACTTAATGCTCTATGGATTTCTAAAATGAAATGCTACACTTAGAAACTATCACAGAAAAATTTTAGATTGCGTCTTATAAGCAAAGAATTTACCAATTCTAATGATTTGCTTATTAATGTTACATTTCAAAACCGAGGAATTTCGCTGGCTTATATTGAATAAATTTCACTTTGCAAATAGTATTTATTATAAATTATTTTTGAGATACTTCCCTCCATATACCCATCAGATTTGAACCCTTTGGCAGAGGGAGAAATACATGTCAAAACTTCTTAAAGCGGTCTTCTCCAACTGCGGAAAAGAACTGGCATGTTTTCTTTTACAGTCTCAGACATTCCTGTTTTCTTATTTCTATCAAATACTTCAGAGTTTGAATGTAAAAACACATGCAAAAATTTCTCCTAGGGGGACTGTCAAACATTTTGACATCTAAAGGCGTCAGAGATTTCTTCATTCTCGTCTCATCCAGAGCGCTGACGCCATAGGAAAAGTGATACATGAATTTATTTTTATTTATTTTAAGGAATAAGAAAAGGTTTTAAAGGATTTATTTTGATGCATTATATGCTTATAACTGGAATGCGAATACATATGCGACACTTGGGCGTCAAGGAAGTGACAGAATTGGTAGTATATATATATATCTACTGTAGGATCTTTGAAATAGAGAAAATAGTCTTTGTGAATATAAATAAAATGCAAACGTATTTTGCTTCACGTCAATTCCATGTTTCATTATTTTGAAGAAGTTTGAAATCACTCTAAAAGTCAATGCACTGATATATTAGAAGCTATCTTAGAAGCTTTAATTTCGTAGTAAACTTAAAGTGCACTAGCATTTCCTACAAATGGAACTGAAATAAAACGTTGTATGATCATCTTTAAGAAACTAGATTTAGAAATCAAACTACTACTAAGATTTAGACTTAGAAAGGCGGCTTGAGAAATAATCTGTGACGTTAATAATAAAAGTTATGCAATATTATAATCTTAGACAAAAAATTATTTAAAAAAAATCTTAAAGGTTCCAGATTTTAAATTACGTCCAAAGAGGCGTTCTTTTAATGTTTTGTGTGTTATCTTTATTTATTAAATATCATGTTCTACGTACTCAAATTATAAAATTCAGTTACCCAGCAACATCGCAAATTAATTTTAAAATGAGCATATCTTTAGAATTTCCGATACAAAGTCTCGCGCGCTGTAAATAATTTTTTTACAGTGTTGCCATTGCTCGCTTTTAAATCGTTTAGATTTTTAATCAAAAATTCGTTGAAGTGTTAGAAAATATGAAATCTATAATTTAACAAAATTAGGGCTTCCACATGCTCATATTCTATGGAAGATCACGTTATTCAAATTTTGATGGCGCTAGGTACCGTTGTTTTATCACAATGCGAGAAAGATACATTTATGCAGATTCCTCATTATTTAATTTCTTTGAATATAAGACAGGCCGATAATATATGGTGGCAACGGTTTGAAAATTGATACTGCCTTTTAAAGTTTTGAATGCAAAATGCCAAAACGAAATTGATTGTCCTTCAGGGCAAACTGTCCCTTTGTACTAATGTATATACAGGGCAAACTGCCCCTTTGTACTAATAAAATCATAGATTGATTGTAATTAAATATTGTTAAAAACTTAAAAAGAGTGATCACATACTCATGAAGTAACATATACATGCAACAATGTTTAAAGAACTCATTGGTAATTACAATAAATTTTTGAAATCCGTTTTCGCAAAATCCATGTGTTTTAAAGGGCCTATACGCCGAAGCTACTACTTTCGCATAAAATCCTTTGAAGTGGCTGAGGACTCCTTTAATTTCTATCAGTGTTTAATAATTTGCATATGTATCATACTCATTCAGATAGAAATTTAAATAACCCTAATCAAATAATAATAGAAATTTAATAGAAATAAATTTAAATAACCCATTTATGCATAATTACATCTAATAGAAATTTAAATAACCCATTTATGCAAGAAGGTTGTTTTCACACTTCATTCTATTGTGAAATTATTCTTTTGGCATTTGCGTCGCTTTTTAGCTGAATTCTTCAATTGAAAGATGTCACATAAACCTGAGATATAAAGAAATGAAGTAAATGCTAGTGCAGCCTTTATAAGTTTTTAGGAAGTTTACATTAATTTAAACACTTTTACTTAAAGTTATAAGACTCGTGAATCGTGAAGGTTTGAAAAGGCATTCAAACATCAAATGTAATGTACAGAAAATTTCTAATTTCTCTTTCAGTAAAACTGATATTGAAGGTGTTATTCCATATTATCAAATCATCTCTTTCTTATAATAATAGGAAATTCAAGTTTTCAAAATTTTTTACTTGTACAAAACCAGATTTACAGGTTTCTTAGATGAGGCGGGCATGCGTGTAATAGGTTAATGCGTGTAATAGGTCCTCTGATAGTTTTAACTTTGAGACTTTTCTGCCTCTATCGTTTGCCTTTGCCAAATACACAAGCCAAAGTAGCAAACAGAGAAAATAGTCTTTGTGAATCTAAATATATTAAAGAAAATGGTGTGCATAATGAAATAGTATCGGCAGGTACAAAGATAATAGCTCTGGCACGAAGTTGGTTACGATAACAAACCCAACTAAACAGCGTGACAGCAAGAACTCAGCAGTCCGCGACAGGCGTCTGAACATGCAAAACAAAATATTCGTGCATTCACTCTCGATGTTTACATCTCACACACTGGTAATGTTAGTTTGTCATATGTGCATAACTAAATACTTCTGTTCATAGAATATCGTAATAAATTGTCTGCGTAATACGTGTACTAAGTTAGAGATATACTTTAACACATCAGAACATCAGAGTACTGCAACTTCCTGTGCTAGCGTGTGATGGTCATGTGTTTTGCCACATTTATTTCGCTACGTTGCGAAGATTTTCGGTTATCAGAATGCTTCAATTACAAAAATTTGGTATTTGTAGACTGAGTAGTTCTTAGTTTGTTATTCAGTTCGCCATTGGCGTTAAAACTAGGATGACGGCATGGTGTATAGAGATGGGCGTATTTCTTCGTAGTTCGACAAGCATTACCATTCAACTGGACAAAGATAAAGTACTTATCGCTATGGTCACGAACAGAATACATTATCACCATGCGCAGAATTGAAGTTATCAGTGCTTGCAGCTGCCGTCTTTAAGAGCCAAAAGATGACTCTCATTTGCATAAGAGAGATACATATATTGTTCACTGGCTTACAACGCAAATTTTCCCATTTTGCGAACATAATGATTGATTAATTTCGTGCTTTTTTAACTGCCATCTATTTCTGTCCAGTTTTATATTTTTAAAACAGCTTATTTTGTGTACACCAGTACGATGTCATACTTTTGCTTTCTGAGTTTTCTCGAAAACGGTAAACAGTATAGGTAAATTTTCAAGGTTCAAATTTTTTTGCTTTTTGAGCAAGGAATCTGATCACAGAGAGCTTTTGTTTTCATGACGGGGCGCCTTGTATATACAATACATATATAACAAAACCTTACGATACATATATAAAAACAATTCAAATGCCTCAAACGAGAATCTCCACTCTCCAATCCGGAGCTTAAATAATATCTAAATCTTTAACAATTGGCTTTTGGGCTTTAATTAAATAAATAATTTTAAATAAACTTTAAAAAATATTTAGATAATATACTACATCTTGATTTCCCATTGCTATTTTAATTCAAATAAATGTCAAATATATATTTATTCTACCCATCATCTTTTATTTATTTATTTATTTATTTTTTGCCATAGCGCTATAATGTAGAAATGTATTAAAAATTACATGTGATAAGGATTGTTTTGTAAACAAAACTGTAGAAAGTATTGAAATGAAAATTTCCATTTTACTAAAATTTCGTGAGTAAAATATTTAAAAATTGTGAATCGCATACCACCCATTCCTTAGCACTAGAAAGACTTTAGCTTTTTAAAATTGACAAATAATAATAATACGCATGTTACGCAATGTCTTTTGTTTTAGAAATCTTCTTAATCGCTTTTTCCTGTCTCTGCTGAGAATGTTGCTGTAGTTATGTTTAGGAAGTTATATGATAAAGGACACCCTCCCCAAAAAAGGAACATATTTCTTTTCACTAAAATTATGAAATAATGGGTACATTATGCTGTTATACAGTTTCAGGTAGTTCCTGAAGATACTCGCAGGTTTTAGAAATATTTAAGAGCAGTGTTTAGGTTTTGCACTAGACTTTAAAACAACAGTCAAATCTGTGATTTTAAAACAAAGGACTTTTAAACTTTTAAAACTTTTAAAAACCACCCAGAAAGAAGCTAAATATAGTCTGGTGTAAGAAAGAAGGAATATATTATAAAAATGGAACACTTTAATGCTTTATTTAAATGCGCCGTTAGTAAAATATGTGCAAATATATACAATCAAATATATACAATCAAAAATATACAATCAAATATTAGAACTTACCATAAGTTCTGAAATCAATGGTCTCAGTTAATTTTTAATGTACTATATTTTTAGTCCAAAGGGATTTGAATCCCGAAGGACTATTAGTTTCGTTTTGGCATTTTGCGTCGGACTCATAAATGTCGGTTCACTTTTCAAACTGTTGCCATAAAATGTTAGAGTCCTGCATTATATTTGAAGAAATTAAATAATGAAAATCTGCGTAAATGTATGTATATTTCTCACATTGTCATAAAATAACGGTACATAGAGTCATCGAATTTTGAATAACGTAATCCTCCAACGAATATGAGCATGTGGAAGACCAAATTTGAAATTTGAAATTTGTTTTATGATCGATTTCCTATTTTTTAAAACTTTGACGAATTTTTGATTAACAAACTCAAGGATTTCAAAGCGAGCAATGGCAACGTTGTGCAGAAAAAACATTTTTATCTCCAGCGCGTGAGTCTCTGTATCGGAAATTCTAAAGATATGCTCGTTTTAAACTATTTTGTGATGTTGCTGTTGAATTGAATTTTTATGTTTTAAGCGCGAAGAACATGATATTTAATAAATAAAGGTAACACAAAAAACGTTAAAAAAACGCTTCTTATATCTGAAATCTGAAAGCTTTCAGGTTTTTTTATAGGCTTAATCTAGACATTATGTGAATTTTTTTAGAACATTTTTGTGCACTTTTTTCCTAGCTGCTGTAGTTTCTAAAATAACAACGCTATAATGGTAAAAGTAGTGTGTTTCAGCCTTAAGACCTTATAATCATTATTAAATTTACCAAATATTAATGTATTTCACTTGCTTTTTAGCATTTGGATTTTGCGTGCCTGTTAATTTTAAGATAATGTTTCGATAGATTTCGGGTTAAAAAGTAAATAATATTCATTTAGATTACATTATGCATACCTAAGTTTTTATGGTGTAATTTCATACTGCAAAATATCGATTTAAAGAGGAAATTCTAATTTTTAAATCATATCATTCCAAGATATGTGGATACATTAATAAATTGCATTAACTCCTATTAAATCGAAAAATCATTGTTAAAAAGAGTTTAATTTTAGCAATCTTACAAAAGTACTTTTTTTGTCGAAATAACCAAAACTGTCCACAGATAGAACTAAATTTTTATCTCCATCCTACTAAATCTGCTTAACATAATATTATACCTGACTACAACCCTGAAAATAAATACATTTCCCGATATTTACAAAACTAATAGAAATCTAGCTAGGATTTTAATGATCTAAAACAATGTTAACGATTAGGTCTAACAAGATGTCTTAGTAATTATAAACGGCTTATTCAAACATCATTAAATCAGACGGTTTGTACCAATGCATGAAAATTCTGATAAAGACCACATCAACATTAAAGTTTGCCAAATAAACCCACTCTAAGCTTTGTTCTTAATCTGTAAATTCATTTGAAATCGAAAGATTGCATGAGAAATTCTGCTTGAAGAAGGAATAAGTTCTGTAAATCATTTGGTAGATCTAAAGATTTGTATACCATTCTAAGTAGGAAACCTTTCAACTCGAAGCAGCTAACTTCATTAAATGGGAAACATCGTTAAATGAGAAGCGTCTTGTATACAAATGCATCGTTCAAGAACCTTATTTACCTAGCCTGTGGCGCACGTCGATCAAAGGAATCTCTTTAAATATTTGTTAATTACTTAATGCGCCATTCAAAGCCGCCTTGTGATAAATTAAGCAAGGAAGAAGACGCTTTACTTACATGCTTTACAAAATACTTTATTATGGCTCATTTGCATATTTATAGTTGAGATAAATTTTACAAAATTTTTAAGTAATTTCTGCTAATATAAGAGATTTCATTTTAAATAATTTTTACGCATCGTTGGATTAAAATTTTTATAAAAGAATTTTCATCCCTGGCACATACACTGAATAGTTTCTAAGAAGATAAACTCAGATTCCAGACGGTTGTGATTATCTTTATAATCATTTTAACCTCTTCGTTGTCCGTAACGCGTCTAGCGCGTTCAAGTAAAACTTTCGCCAGAGCTGCGTAACGCACAACAAGCGTTCTTCTATATTTTAAAAGTTTTAAACGTTTAAAACGCCTTCTAAATGTTTACTTGTTTGAGTTGTTATTTTTGTTTGTTCTAATACCTCCGAGAGGGTAGCACTCATCAGGAATTCTATTTCTAATTGTATTTGCCCCGGGTTTTATGAATATTAGAGCCATTTTACATAAGATACAAGACAGTGAGAGATGGCATCGATGTCTACTCAGCAGAAAAAGAGAAAAAATGAGGTTGTGAATAGGAAAGACAAGAAGGATATACGTTTGATGAGTACAGTCCATAATAACTCGATGATTGATGTTGTAACACGGAAAAGAACTGTAAAAAACCATTAATTGTAAAACATTACAACAACAAAATGGGAAGAGTGGACCGCCTGGATCAGATGTTATCAAATTATCCTGCTGTTAGAAATAAGCAGAGATATTATTTTTCCATTATGCTCTATTTCCTTATAATTTTACTTAATATTCATTGACATTCATCCACTACGAAAGTCATGTATGGTAAGTTATGGTGTACGGAGAAAACAACATTACACGCTACGAAAAACAGACGGCCGCTGGGGGAAATTTCTCGCGGACAGGAGAGGACGGCGAAAGGGTTAATGAGTATGATGATTATCAAGGAATTTCAGTACTGTCATTTATATATATTCCCAGAAATACTGAACAATTTTAAGGTAATCATTTTCCGGTAGGGGGTCTTTCTGAGAAAATGTCGCTACATTTAAATTTGTAATTTATATGTTTCGTTTTACAATTTTGTCGGAAAACTTGCGAATTGCTCTAGAATATGTACTGTATACCTTTATATTGTAAACATTATTAACTAGAGGAACATCCGATACCAGTGAAGTTAGATTGAGCGTAATGCATCTAACAACAGTAAGAACGATACCGCTGCAATCCTTCTCTAATAACAATGCAAAAGTTACGATTCAAAGTCATTCATTTTTCCGTCTAATGCGATATGGAACCCACATGAAAAACTTCGTTGGAAAAATAATATAATTATTTATCATTATATCAGAAACAACGACACGCAGTTTTTAATGATTTTCGTCTTTCTAATCAAATGCTCGTAAAAGCTCAAGTTCTATCCAATATTTCACCTATATTTCAATTTTAGTCGATTAAACGTGACAAAAAAAATTATCACAATTGATGAGAAATCAATAACGCGGACAAACAAACAAACAAACAGACGTTCTTCTTTATATGTATAGATTTTGTAAAACTTACAAATTTTTTATTAACAAACTCTGCGATTTGAACGCAAGCAGTAGCAGCACTTTTCGAAGTAAAGCATTTTTATCTCCAACGCGTGAGACTGTTGCCACTCGGAAAAAATGAGTGCGAAAATTAGCGCTTTCGGAGTTTTTAATGAATATTTCGGCTGATTAAAGTCGTACGAAGATGGGAATAGTCGAAATGGCTTCTCACAAATTTTTTCGAATCGGAAATATTGTATTTAATGTTTAGCAATGCTAATTTTATTTCATCGTAAAACTTCGAAACTTTTTATTAACATAGTCTAGGATTTGAAAGCGAGCAGTAACAACAACTTTAGAAATAAAGCAGATTTGCTTCTCCAGCTTGCGAGACTGTTACCACTGGGAAAAATGAGGAAGAAAATAATCGTTTTTACAAGTTTTCGATTAAGTTGTTTGACTTATAGTCAGGACAAACCTGCCGACGAAATTCCTCGTGGCAGGGAGCACAAGAGTTGTCGTTGCCAGCAACTTTGAGACCTTGCAGATGACAGTGCGACTTAGTTCCGCCCCCAAAATTGATGGAGAGCACCCCCTCGGGGGCAGGTTCAACCCTTTTCCTCGATCACCAACCTCTCAAGAGGACTTTCGCCTAGCCGCATATTTATAGCGCCGCCATGCCGCATGGATACTATACATTTACAAACATCCATGCCTTATCCGGGATTTGAACCCGGGCCATTCGGAACGGTAGTCAGCGACGCTAACTACTCTACAATTTAGGCGGCGTTAATGAAAGTTAAACAAGGAAAAGACCATGACCTAATAGAATCCAGTTAAACATTGGAGAAGTCTATTGATATTATACAGTTAAAATGTATTGAAAGTCGTCTTTAATTTTTGTATATTATTCATGTTACCATGCTGTCATTGCTATTTATTTCAGATTGGTATTTAGATGACTTGTTAGCGTGTTATGTACAGTACGTAGCTGTGTATTGTTGCTATGTCTTGTGCAGCTTCTTCCGAAAATTTATCTGCTTATTCGTTTCATCTTTTCTTTCATCAAACTTTGATCCAATGCATAATAATATGCTGTTGTTTGATTCTTCTTAATATATGTTGAATTTTGTTCACTATCGGGCAACTGCGCTGTGTGCTTTTAATTCGCAAAGATCTCATTTAAAGATACATACATCAGTTTTCCTCTTTGCTTTTCACACTAAAAGAAATAAAAACGTTGATTCATTTAAAAAAATGTTTTCTCATATTATCGGTCATACCATCAGGTTTATGAGGCCTTTCTAAATTACGGGCATGTATTCTTCGTTTAGGGTATACCTAAATAATAAAAATTTTCTCAAAATGTTTTTTAATCGTTATGTCTTATGCAAGCTCTCTAAATCAGTTTCAAAAGTGCTGAATTGTGCCATAAGAAAAAATAATAAAGTGGTAAAATACTGTAGAGACATAGGATAATTTTATAACAGGAATGTTATGTTATGTAGAAGTGTTAGGCCCACCTAATATTTACCCTAAGTAAGTAGGTATTAGCCCCACACACAGGAATGATGACACAGGAATAACAGGACAAACAGGAATGATGAAAATTGACAAACGACCTCTCCGGGAAGCGTAATGGCAAACCGAACATTGAGATGATCAATGTTAAACGAATTTCGCTTACTGCGCATGCCCAAAAGAGAATTTGGAGCAGTTACGACTTTGGCGCAATTTTAAAAAGACGAAAAATATGGTATATGGTTTATATTGTGTTATCTTGGGCATAAGCAGTTCGAGGTTTTAAATCATGTCAGGTTGTAAGCTGCTTCATT